TGAATAGAAAGATCAGCATTTATCTGAAATAAAAAGCTTTTGTAATATAATACACTATACCTTTCAAAAGCTTGGAGTCAGTACAATTGTTTTGGGAAAGAAATTATAGAAATTAATACTTTTAGCAAGGATGCTTTAAATTGATCAAAAGTGATAAAGACATTTATAATGTTACAAAAGATATTTCAGAAATGCTTTTCTAAACTTTCTATTCAAAGAAACCTGAAAAAACAAACAAACAAACAAAAAAAAATCAGCATATCAGATTGATTTCTGAAGGATCATGAGACACTGAAGACTGGAGTAATGATGCTGAAAATTCAGCTGCGCATCACAGAAATAAATTACATTTTAAAATCTATCCAAATAGAAAGCAGTAATTTTAAATAGTAAAAATATTTCAAAGTTTTACTGCTTTTGCTGTACCTTGGGTCAAATAAATGCAGACTTTGAGAACAGAAGAAAAAAAAAAAAAATGTTTTATATATATATATTCTTAGCGTTCAAATACGTTTGACTGGTAGTGTAGATTTTTGGAACACAGCTGCATATTTATAGTTACAGCATTCATATTATAGTGCAACAAAAATTAAGTTACTACAAAATCCCATTACCTTTTCAGATAGGAGTGGACATTATCATAGCCGTGGTATTTGGCCAGGTACACGAGCACACCTGTAGCACAGCGGCCCTCTCTGGCACGGCAGAAACTGCAGTTACAGATGCCCCTGCACGGGGGGCAAAGCCACTCCTAGAAGAAGAAAACAACATTTCAGCAACACCATCCAACCACTTAGAAAAATGCTAGCTGATCTGGGGTGTGTTTCCCGTACAACGACGTAACTTGCTGATTACCCACCATATTACAATGCATTGTTGTGGAAATAAACTAGCTAGTCACAACTGTTTCTCTGCTTTCACAATGTGCATAAGACTGAATAGAAAACGTCACTAACCGGGCTCAGGAGGGCATCACGGACGTCTTCTCCGTATCTGTTCTTGAGACAAGGCCCGCAGACGACAGGTGGGATTCAGCTTACAGCACTTCTCATTCATTCCTATGGGATCCGTAAATGGCGATTGAGTGTCGCACAACTCAATGACGTCAAGGCTGTATTGTGATTGGTTATTAAGGGACACGTGATCCAAGTTAGCCGTTACGCTTTCTCCAATAGTAAGTAATACAGACCCTCTCATCTCCCTATAGTAAGAATCTCCGGTGCGTTTCCCTTATAACGACATAACTTGCTGATTAACCACCATAGTACAACGCATTGTTGTGGAAACAAACTAGCTAGTCACAACTGTTTCTCTGCTTTCACAATGTGCATTAAGACTGAATGGAAAACGTCACTAACCGGGCTCAGGAGGGCATCACGGACGTCTTCTCCATATCTGTTCTTGAGACAAGGCCCGCAGAACTGCCCACGAACTCCCACGCATTCTGGGTTGCGGCAGCTGGTCTTGGTGTCGGTTGTTTTTTGCCGACACTGATGGCAGGTGGATCCCTGTCGGACAAAAGCACAGCCCACACGCTCATGAAGAGTCTGCAGCGCTTCAAACGAGCGGAGAAATGAAGGCTTGGGTATGGAACAGGTGTTGTGATGGTAAAAGCATCATGCTGAAGGAGACTTACAGTGGCCCGGTTGTAAATCTTCTCTCTGGCGTTGACACAGATGTTGTCCAGTTCAGCCTCAGTGATTTCCTCCACAGGCCTCACGACATGAGGAATCGTCAGAGTGCTGTTATAGCTGCGCCGACGTGGCTCTTTCTGCTCACACACAGGAGGGAAAATAAAAAGTAAATATCCATCCAGTGGCACTCACCTTAACTTCACATGACAAAATATAAAAAGCTCGAGACTGCATGTGCACTGCTGTTCAAAAGCTCAGTTTGGGGACAGCAAGATTTTTCCTTTTCAAAGAAATGAAAACTTGATCAATTTACTGCATTCTTGCTGAAAAGTGACATGAAAAAAAGACAATGTTTTCAACATTGATAATAAAACAATGTTTTTTGATCAGCAAATCAGCATATTCTAATGATTTCTGAAGGATCATGTGACACTGACGTGACCAGTGTTGGGGAAAGTTGCTTTTAAAAGTAATGCATTACAATATTGCGTTACTCCATAAAAAAGTAACTATTTGCATTACTTTACTAAATTACTTTTTATGGAAAGTAATGCATTGTTACTTTTGTCACCAGAGTTGGGCTTATTTTTAACAACAAAAACTTATATTTGATTATATTATACTTGTATATTTTTTTTTATTATACAGGTGCATCTCAAAAAATGTGAATATCGTTAAAGTTCTTTTTTTTTGTAACATTTCAAAACGTCAACCTTTCATATATTCTAGATTCATTAGAGGTAAAGTAAAACATTTCAAACGTTATTTTTGTTTTAATTTTGATGATTAGAGCTTACAGCTCATGAAAGTCAAAAATCCAGTATCTCAAAATATTAGAATATTTATATTTGAGCTTCATTAAATGACCATCCCTACAGTATAAATTCCGGGTATCTCTTGTTCTTTGAAACCACAATAATGGGGAAGACTGCTGACTTGGCAATGGTCCAGAAGACAATCACTGACACCCTCCACAAAGAGGGTAAGTCACAGAAGGTCATTACTGAAAG